CAATTCCGGCCCCCCTGGGAGATGTGATCACGAGGTCCTTGCAAGTGCCAGCAGGGGGAGTGTAGTTTAAAATTAAATTATATATACTTAGATCATATGTATGATCTAAGTATGTATACATATATATATATATATATATATATATATATATATATACATACTAAGTGTCTAAGTGTATTTTAATATAAATATTTATGTATATATATATATATATATATATATAACAACATTGTTGTTTGTTGCTCTTGAAGAAAGCCCAGGACGTGGGCTGAAATGTCGAGTTTTTATGGAATAACTGAATAAAGAAGATTTTTTACTACAAGACCATGAGTGCTAGCCTATACCTCAATATTTTTATATATATAACTATATATAAATATATATTAATATCAAATTACATGTAGAATGACATTGATTAAATATATATATATATAATAATTTTAAATATATATATATTTATATATGATATAAAATAAAATATGTAAATATGATAAAAAAATAATATACAAAATAAATAAAAAAATATATATGTGCAATTTTGTTCTAACTGTATTTTAATATATATATATATATATATATATATATATATATATATATAGATATACACACATACACACAATACACAAGATCCAGTGCACTCACCTATCCACTAAACAGCAACTTCAATGTTGAAAGATTTTATTTGTTTTTTTAAAAACACCTAATCTAGGCAAAAATAATGGGGGTTTAGTTACATTATATGATCATACATTGCATAAGGCTGCCACAACGTCAATGTACCCCATCTTTGGCAGGTCCTACACTAACAGCCTAATGTCTGCTCTTATGAGATTAACCCACTTACTTGGGAAAAAAATTCCATCTGGGGCTCTCTGCAGTACAAGGCTAAATAGGGCCCTGGGATGAGGCACCTGTGACAGGGAGGGGTGCAAAACCAAGGAGTTGGCTAGACTCCCAAATATATATATATGAAACAAAGGGGGTTTGGCTGCACTCACCTGAACATGCATAAATGGGGGTGCTGCTGGGGGCCAAATTATACAATACACAAGATCCAGCGCACTCACCTATCCACTAAACAGCAACTTCAATGTTGAAAGATTTTATTTGTTTTTTTTGTTATCAAAATACACCTAGAACAAAATAATATATATACCGTATTTTTCGCTCCATAAGACGCACTTTTTTTCCCCTCAAAAGTGAGGGGAAATGTCTGTGCGTCTTATGGAGCGAATGTGAAGATTTACTTACCTGTCTTGGAGCGTGGGCCGGCTTCACAGCGCGCTCCGCGGTCCAGGAACTTCTATTTCAGGTTCCGGTTTCCGGCGGGACTGAAAGGAAGTGCACACTCAGTGTGCACACTTCCTTTCAGTCCCGCCGGAAACCGGAACCTGAAATAGAAGTTCCTGGACCGCGGAGCGCGCTGTGAAGCCGGCCCACGCTCCAAGACAGGTAAGTAATTATGGGACAATGGGAGGGGAGACACTATAAGAGAAAGGGGAGGGGGAGACACTATAAGAGAAAGGGGAGGGGGAGACACTATAAGAGAAAGGGGAGGGGAAGACACTATGGGAGAAGGGGAGGGGGAGACACTATGGGACAAGGGCAGGGGGGGGACACTATGGTAGGGAAAGTGCACTATGGGACAATGGGAGGGGGGAACACTATGGGATCAGAACACTAATGGACAAGGGGAGGAGGGGTTAAAGAACACTATGGGACAGGGTAGGAGGGGTTAAAGAACACTATGGGACAGGGGAGGAGGGGTTAACAATCACTATTTGACAGAGGAAAGGGGGGTTAAAGATCATTATAGGACAGGGGAGAAAAAAAAATATTCTGAACAAACTGTCCCATAGTAAGAAACACTATGGAACAGTTTGTTCAGAATATTTTTTTTTTCTGGGTTTCCTCCTCTAAAAACTAGGTGCGTCTTATGGTGAGGTGCGTCTTATGGAGCGAAAAATACGGTATATATCTATACATAAGTATATACATATATATTACTATATATACCTAAATATAAATAAAAATAATTTCAAACATTATATATATATATATATATATATATATATATACACGTATATATATACATATAATAATGCTACTTATATATTTATGTAATAATTTTACATAATTAGGTTATTTTATTAATTACAATTTGCAGGACCTGCTGACAACCCAGGCCCAAAGTCCAGGGAATTTAATTTGCTAGCACTGTATTTAACCCTGCAACTTTCCAACATACCATAAAACCTGTACATAGGGGATACTGTTTTACTCAGAAGACTTCGCTGAACAAAAATATTAAAATGTATTTCAATGATGATATAGTCAGTGAAAGTTAAATTTTTTTGCATTTTTCACACACAAATGGTACTTACAAGGACGATATACCATATATACTCAAGTATAAGTCTAGTTTTTCAGCACATTATTTGTGCTGAAAAACCCCCACTCGACTTATACTTGAGTCAGTGTCTGTATTATGGCAACTTACATTGCCATAATACAGACCAGGACCGCCGAGCTCATTACAAGCCCGGCAGTCCTGTCGGGGGCTGGCAGAGAGCTGTTACTTACCTTTCCTGCAGCTCCTGTCAGCTCCCTTCTCCTGCGCTCCTGTCAGATCCCTTCTCCTCCACTGTAAGTCTCGCGCTCTAACCCTGTGGCTCTCGCAAGACTTACAGTGGAGCTGACCGGACCGGAGGAGAAGGGAGCTGACAGGAGCTGCAGGAAAGGTAAGTAATAGCTCTCTGCCAGCCCCCCTCCTACACAGCCCATCCACTGGACCACCAGGGAATGAGAGTCCCCCTCCCTGGCCAGCTAACAAGCAGGGAGGGGGGACGAAAATAAAAAATAAATAATAATAAAAAAATATTACAATATTTTTTTTTTTAAATATTACAATTAAAAAAAGTAAATAATAAAATACAAAATAATACTAAAATATGAAAAGTAAAACATTAAAATAAAACAAAATTAAAATAATAAAAATGCCCTCCCCCACCCAGTTCACACACACTACACACACACTACAAACACACACAGTACACACACAAACACACACTCATACACACACACTCTGCATTATATACACACACACACACTGCATTATAAACACACTCATACAAACACACACTCTGCATTATACACACACACTCATACAAACACACACTCATACAAACACACACTCTGCATTATATACACACATACACACTGCATTCACACAAACACACACTCTGCATTATATAATGCAGAGTGTGTGTTTGTATGAGTGTGTGCGTATAATGCAGATTGTTTGTATGAGTGTGTGTGTGTGTGTATAATGCAGAGTGTGTGTTTGTATGAGTGTGTGCGTATAATGCAGATTGTTTGTATGAGTGTGTGTGTGTGTGTGTATAATGCAGATTGTTTGTATGAGTGTGTGTGTATAATGCAGATTGTTTGTATGAGTGTGTGTGTGTGTGTATAATGCAGAGTGTGTGTTTGTATGAGTGTGTGTGTATAATGCAGATTGTTTGTATGAGTGTGTGTGTGTGTGTGTATAATGTAGAATGTGTGTATGAGTGTGTGTGTGTGTATAATGCAGAGTGTGTGTATGAGTGTATGTGTGTATAATGCAGAGTGTGTGTTTGTATGAGTGTGTGTGTATATAATGCAGTGTGTGTGTTTGTATGAGTGTGTGTGTGTATAATTATAAAAATCACAGAATTTCATAGCCCCAAGTTTTACCCTTGACTTATCCACGAGGCATAGCATATTTCACAATTGTTGGTCACAAAACTGCACTCGACTTATACATGAGATCGACTTATACCCGAGTATATACGGTAATTGTTGTGGTACGTTTTACTGTTTTGAAGCACTAATATTTATGTTCAGCGAAGTCTCCCAAATATAACAGTACCCCTCATGTACAGGTTTTATGGTGTTTTCAAAAGTTACAGAGTCAAATATAAGGCTTGCGTTTCAGCTTTTTCACATTGAAATTCTCCAGATTGGTTACGTTGCCTTTGAGACCTTATGGTAGCCCAGGAATGAAAATTACCCCCATGATGGCATACAATTTGCAATAGTAGACAACCAAATGTATTGCAAATAGGGTATTTCCAGTCTTTTTTAGTAGCCACTTAGTCACAAACACTGGCCAAATTTGGCATTTAAATTAGGTTTTTGCATTTTCACACACAAACAAATATTAACACTAACTTTGGCCAGTGTATATTAATTTTATAATTTTTTTTACTTTTTTTTACTTTTTTTTTACCAGCAGGGGGCTGCCCAGCAGTGTAGGGGGGTAATACCCTAAGAGGGATTAGAAGCGATCCAGTCATTAACGACCGTTTTTTGGCTGACGTACTCAGTACGTCCATGGCCACTAAGGGGTTAGCAAACTATATGGATGGTAGCATGCCTAGCCTTCCTGAACCCATAAATACTCATATTTCAAACCACCTGTCACGGGTTAAAATATGTCAATATTAGCCTGTGCCTGTAAATATATTACATTTATAATATTGTCTATAAAACAAACTGCATGTAAAATTAAATTATTAAAAGGGACACTATAAGCACCAAAACAACTCTAGTTGTATTAAATGGTTTTGATGTTTAGATCATGCTGCTGGACTCTAACTGCTCAATTCTCTACCATTTATGAGGCAAATAACATTCTAAATGCAACCCTAGAAACACCTCTTCTACATGTGATCTACACAGTCTCCCTACACAATACCTGTAAAAAGAGATCTAACAACTTTTATTGCACAATCATTTTACTTTAGAATACTTTAGTATCTCTTGCTCTGTTAATTGTCTGCTGGAGCCTACAGGAGCCAGTATTGTTTTTAAAGTTAAATTTACAGAGCAGGAGAAAAAAACTTCAAAAGTGAACTCACTGTGCTGATTGAAAATGACACTATTTTTAATGTTGGCTGTGTAAATTACAGGCAAGTGAGGTCTAGTGATGTCGCGAACCATTCGTGGCGAACTCCGGTCAGCTGACACATCCCTGCCAATCTCCAGCAGACCCTCCCTCCCAGACCCTTCTACTTCCTGGACAGCAACCATGTTGAAGGCAGCTTCAACATGGATGCTGTCCAGGAGGTGGGAGGGTCTGAGAGGGAGGGTCTGCCGGAGATTGGCAGGGATGTGTCAGCTGACCGGAGTTCGCCACGAACGGTTCATGGCGAACCGTTCGCGGCAATTTCGCAAACGGTTCGTGACATCGTTAGTGAGGTCTGGTTAGGGCTGCATAAACAGAAACACACATGATTTAACTCCTAAATGGCAAAGAATTAATATTGCCGAAGCATGATTTATACACCGCTTCATTAAGCTAAAATTGTTTTGGTGCTTGGAGTATTCCTTTAATACTTACCAAATCCCTCATTTAAACAAATACCTGATGGAATGTTTAAAAAAAGTGCAAAAGATTATATTAGAAATTAATCTACTTGTTCTAATATTTTTATTGTTATCTTGAACCATAATGCCCTTATTTTCTGTCCATTAAATGGTTTAAAAGAGTACTTCTGGGAGAGTACAATTTGAAATAAATACCTGTAAACAACATGTACACCTTCATAGATGGAGCCTATATTAAAACATAAGAAATTCTGGAGTAATGTTAAATATAGAGAAATCATCAAAGCAATTGATGGAGTAGATCTACTGATTACTCCACATTTATCACTTACCCTTAGTACTGTAACAGATATGCTTTCATAAATGTAGTTCATAGTATAGTATTTTTGTAAATCAGAAATGCTAAATTCACTGAATTTACTGTGGTTAGTCACAGTTAAACAGTTGATCAAGCTGTAATCCATCTATCATAAAAAATACTGGATAATCAATTTAAATGTCTTCTGACAGTGACACATTCCTTCAAGCGTAGTCTCTCAACATTATCAAAAGTAATCTGAATTTAATATTATTTTCCATTGTCAGCCACATAAAGTGATCAAAACCAATTTTTCAATGAATGTTCCATCACAGAACTGTTGAAAATATAAATTTCTACCTAACAGGGTTATTCACTAAAATGAGAATTCAAAGACAATTTCAAATTTAAAGCCAAAGTAGCTGAACTTTAAGCATAGCAGACTTAGAGATTTTTTCTAGTTTAATCTTAAATTTGAAATTCACTTTGAATCAACCTTGAACTCTCTTTTTTTGTTAAAGGATCACTATAGGGTCAGGAAAACAAACATGTTTTCCTGACCCTATAGTGTTAAAACCACCATCTAGCCCCCCTGGCCTCTCATGCCTCCCTAAATATAGCAACATCTTACTGTATTGAAGCCAGAAGCTGTAGATCTGCATGCTGTTGGCCTAAAAAAAAACAAGCTGACATCATTAGAAGTGGTAGCCTGATCCAATCACAATGCTTCCTCGTAGGATTGGCTGAGACTGACAAGGAGACAGATCAGGGGCAGAGCCAGCATGATACAAACACAGCCCTGGCCAATCAGCATCTCCTCATAGAGATGAATTGAATCAATAAATCTCTATGAGGAAAGTTCAGCGTCTGCATGCAGAGGGAGGAGACACTGAATGTTTGGATGCATTTTAGGCAGCCATGACCCAGGAAGGATCTCTAACAGCCATCTAAGGAGTGGCCAGTGAAATTATCACTAGGCTGTAATCAGGGCCAGATTAAGAGCCCAGTGGGCCTGGTGCTGACAATTATGACGGGCCTAATTACAGAATCATATCGACCAAAAACAGTAAAACACTCCCAAGCGTCATGTATCTTATGGAGATGGTGCTGGAGAGAAAGAAAACAGCAGCTATAAGAAAACACATACCGTAGGCTAATCTCTCACCAATTTATGTTTTCATCTTTCAAGTAAATCCATAACCCCTAACAGCAGTGTCCAGTCAAGCAAGAAGTCAATGGGCACGGTAAAAGGGTGTGCCACTGACACAAATCACGTAACCTGCCAAAAGGGGCGAACATGCCCAAAAAGAGCATATGTCTGCCCAAAGAATTAGAATGCCAGCCTGGTATGAATGCATGTCAGGCTGCCTGCCAATCATGCAGCTGGCCAACTAAGGGCATACTATGCAGACAGCACCCTGAGCTTGGCATAAATGCATCTAATGATGCGCTCGCTCAATGCTTTCTAAGGACTGTCCCCTAGCACTCGCTGGTCCACTTGTCTCCTTACCTTCTTACTAGCAGGCAGAAGCTCCTGGTATATAGTCTGGGACAGAGAAAAGTTGTATGTAGTGAGTGTTGAAGAAAGGGAACATGCCACAGTGTTAGAGAGACCGTCAGCATTACCTTAAAGGATCACTATAGGGTCAGGAACACAAACATTAATTCATGACCCTATAGTGTTAACACCACCATCTAGCCCCCCTGGGCCCCTCATGCCTCCATAAATATAGAAAAATCTTACTGTATTCAAGCCTGAAGCTGTAACTCTGCATGCTGTTAGACTCAGAAAAACAAGCAGTCTGCTGACATCATTAGAAGTGGTGGCCTAATCCAATCACAGTGCTTCCCCATAGGATTGGCTGAGACTGACAAAGAGACAGATCAGGGGCAGAGCCAGCATGATTCAAACACAGCCCTGGCCAATCAGCATCTCCTCATAGAGATGAATTGAATCAATGAATCTCTATGAGGAAAGTTAAGTGTCTGCATGCAGAGGGAGGAGACACTGAATGTTTGGATGCATTTTAGGCAGCCATGACCCAGGTAGGATCTCTAACAGCCATCTAAGGAGTGGCCAATGGGCTATCACTAGGCTGTAATGTAAAGACTGCATTTTCTCTGAAAAGACAGTGTTTACAGCAAAAAGCCTGACGGTAATGATTCTACTCACCAGAACAAATCCAATAAGCTGTAGTTGTTCTGGTGACTCTAGTGTCCCTTTAACTATATTCATTGTCAGACAGTCCACACAAGTTTTGTTCCCATACATCCCTTTTAAGTTTCCATACTTAAGTAAGAGTATGTGAAAAGTAGATAGGGTTGCCACCTTTCTTGGAAAAACATACCGGCCTTGCTAATTTGCATAATTAAATATGTATGGGTGACATCACATGATGTAAATCACAAGGAGTGACATAAGAGAAAATGCTGTAAAATCACCAAAAAACTACTTAGTTTGATTCTGCTGTATAGATATATAGATTCTGCTGTACAGTGGCCCCATGTCTCCCAGTGCCCCCATGTGTCGATTACTCCAGGTCTCAGTGTTCCTATGTATCAGTGTCTCAGTGCCCCTTGTCTCCCAGTGTCCCCTAGTGATCATATGTATCACAGTGTCTCAATGCCCCATGTCTCCCTGTGTCCCCATGTATCCCAGGGTCCCCATGTCACTAGGAAGACGGGAAGACCTGGGGACACGGGGAGTCCTAGGGACACGGAGACACCAGTGACACTGGGAGACTAGGGGGCTCGGGCTGGGACGCATGTGGACACAGGGAAAATAGGGGACACTTGAAGACATGGGGACACAGACACCAGGGACACAGACACTAGAGACGATGGGTGGGGGACATGAGGACATTGAGACATGGGGGCACTGGGAGACATGGGGACAACAAGACACCAGGGCCACAGACACTAGGGACACTAGCTTGGAGACATGGGGACATTGAGACACTTGAGGCAATGGGAGACATGGAGGCACTAGGAGACATGGGGACAGTGAGACACTGGCAGACTGCGGGGCACTGGGAGATTAGGGGGCACTGAGACACCAGGGACACTGGCTAGGAGACATGGTGACACTGGGAGACATGGGGACACTTTGTCCCCATGTGTCTGTGTCATAATGTCTCCCAATGTCCCTTAGTGTCTCAGTGTCCTCATGTCTCCTTGCAGCCTTTCCCCATCCCTTACTTCCCTGAGCTGTTGCTGTCTCTGCATGGTGGGAGTTGCTGTCTGGACTCTCTGTAGCTGCACCCCTGCAGATCAGTGAGTATAGATAGGCAGGGAGGCATATGCTGGAACTTCCTATACCTGCCTGTCTCAACACACAGCGACCCCTACTGGCCAGTGCTGGTATTGCATAGTAATCTCTTGTTTATACTGAGAAAAATACCAGCATTTGTATTGCCAGTATCACTGTAATATTTGCACCAGCCAGGAAGCCTCAAATACTGGCTGTGCCAATAAAATAAAAGCCAGGTGGAATCCCTAAGAGTAGTGTGTGAAAAAAAAAATGTAAAAAAAAAAAAATTAAATTTTTTTTTTTTTTTTTAATGAATCAATGGGCCTATTCCATGGGCCTGGGCCTGGAGCTGCAGCTCCATCAGCCCCTATGTTAATCCGGCCCTGGCTGTAATGTAAACACTGCATTTTCTCTGAAAAGACAGTGTTTACAGCAAAAAGCCTGAAGGTAATGATTCTACTCACCAGAAAAAATTCAGTAAGCTGTAGTTGTTCTGGTGACTATGGTGTCCCTTTATTTTTTGTGAAACATACCAAACATTACAAATGCAAATAACATGGTCATGGTATTATAATGCTTATCATGCTCTCCTCTTTAAGTTTAAAAAAAAAACCTAGTGTGACTTCAGTCATATGGTATACCCTTTGACAAAATCAAAACTTGATTTTGGATTAATAAATGTACACTGTTCAGCCACAAGATTAACCCCTTAAGGACTGGACTGTTTTTGCGATGTTGTACATTTGCGACCAGGCATATTTTTACACTTTTGTGGTGTTTGTGTTTGGCTGTAATTTTCTGCTTTCTCATTTACTGTTCCCATACAAATTATATATTGTTTTTTTCAGGACAAAAGGGGCTTTCTTTACATACCATTATTTATATAATCTCATGTATTTTAATTTAAAAAAAATAAAATATATGATGAAAAATTGAAAAAAATACATGTTTTTTGACTTTTACTTGAAAAATCTTTTACTCATCTACAAAATCGAATGAAAAAAACTGCTAAATAGATTCAAAATTTTGTCCTGAGTTTAAAAATACCTAGTGTTTACGTGCTTTTTGCTTTTTTTTGCATGTTATAGGGCTATAGGTACAAGTAGGATATTGCGGTTTCAAAACATACATTTTTAAAATTTATCAATAGTGACATTGTAACACTATTATCTGTCATAAATCTCTGAATAACACCCCACATGTACATATTTTTTTTAAAGTAGACAACCCAGGGTATTCAATATGGGGT